ACTCTCTGATGCATGACAAGTGATAGCAAAGACCATGGCCTGTATCAGACCTTAGTCTCCAGAGAGACACCAATGCTCTTCAGTACTTTGGAGAAGTCCCTAACAGCAGACTTTCCTATCGCAATATGTCTTTTAATTTCCTGGCTACTGGTGTGAGAGTGTTGACTGTGGAGCCAAGCAAACTAAAGCTGTGAACAATCTCAATCTCTTCACCATCCATCCTGATGTTCCCAATTGGTCCAGTGGTGACAGTCTTTGTCTTCTTGACATTGAGCCTCAATCCATACTGAAGGCTGTAATCTTTGACCCTCTGCACCAAGTGCTTCAGGTCCTCCTCAGTTTCAGCAAGCAGAGTTGTGTCATCTGCATAACACAGATTATTGATGAATCTTCCACCAATCCTGATACCATACTTCTCCTCATAGAGCCCAGCCTCCTGAATAATCTGGTCTGCGTACAGGTTGAAAAGGTATGGAGTCAGGACATATCCCTGGCGTATGCCCTTCCCAATTTTGAACCATGCAGTGTTTCCTTGCTCTATTCTGACGACTGCCCAAGTTTAGGTTTCTCATTAGCATGATCAAGTCTTCTGTGATTCCCATTTTTCTCAGAGTCAGCCACAGTTTGTTATGATCCACACAAACACCTTTGAAGAATAGTATAAATTTTTTTTTAAGAAAATAAGCCCATTGAACTAATATCCAGATCAAGAAACAAAACACTACCAGCATCCCAAAAGGCACTTCATTCACCTAGCCTATCTTCTCCTTTGCCTTTTAACACCACAGATTATTATTGGCAGCTTTTGAACTTTATAGAAATGAAACCAATGTAGTCTATATCCTTTTGGTGTGTTATGTCTCCCTTTTTTTTTTTATTTCTCCTTTTTTGTTGCACATTTTCTCCCACCCTCTCTTCACCCTCACCCAGCCCATCCCACAGTGCACCTCTTGTTCCAGATTGTTATACATATAATGCACAATCATATATTCCTTTCAGTTTTTCCACGCATCTATTCTAATGCAATGTTCATTATGTAGCCACTCTTTCCCCGTGTCATATTTTATAACAACGGTGTTATGTAGTATTTATCCTCTTGTGACTGAGATATTTTCCTTGACATAATGCCCTCAAAGTTCCTCCATGTTGTATGTTTTACATTTCATTGTTTGTCGGTGCTGCATAGTATTACATTGAGTGGATGTTTTTCTGTCCATTTGTTTATTAATGGGCACTTGGATTGCTTCCATCTCTTCGCTGTTGTGAATGTGCATTGGTAGTTTATTTCTAAGGCTTCCCCAATGTTTTTTTCATGCAATTGTAGTTTATTTCATTTTATTGCCATATAATGTTGCAGGAACATTCATATTAATGTTTTTTAATGATGTGTGTATTTCTGTTGAATATCTTATAGAATAAATGTATATTTAGCTTTAATGCATACTGCCAATTTTTCAAATGGTCGCTTCCTCCAACAGTGTATGAAAGTTCTCTGGTTGATCTGCATCTTTGCCTCCTGGTGATTTGGGAAAAAACCCAAAAACAAACAGTTTCTCTCACTCATTCAGTGCTTCACCTGCTGTGTGCAAAGTCCTGACTTAAGCCTCGGGAATGCTGTTATTAATTAGGATAGACAAAGTCTTGCTCTTTTGGAAATTATATTCTAAGGTGGGAAGCATAAGAATAGTGGTTATTGCTTTGATAAAAAGATGATGATGTTCATTGCGATTGAGTTGGAACTGACTCAGAACTGACCCTACAGCGGGTTTTCAGAGGCTATAAATTACAAGGGAAGAGATTTCCCATCTTTCTCCCTTAGTGCAATTAGTGGATTTGAGCTTCATGCCTTTGGGTTGGCCACACAACTCCTTACCACTAAACCACTAGAGGTCCCTGGAAGAGAATATAGCAGGTACAAAATTGTGAAGGCAGTAACTTCCTCTGTGTTCTGTAAAAAGCCTGAAGCAAGTTCTACAGTCTTTGTAGCTTTCCTTCCTATAGCAGCCGTCTTTGCCTGCATATGCCCACCTACTGTGAGAAAGATTTATGTAACTAACAGCAATACAACCTAGATTTAAAACATTGGGAGTTTGAATTTGAATACTTTGAGAGTATAGAGATAAGGGAGCTCTGGTGGCGTAGTGGCAAGAAGCTGCACTGCAATCCCAGAAGTATGGGGTTCGAATCCACCAGATGCTCTGCTGGAGAAGGAGGGGCAATCTTCCTGTATCAGTCAGATCTAATTTGATGGTACACACACACAAAAAGTATGGAGATAAACTAAAAAAACTGAAACTTGTTGCCATCAGTCAAGTATAAACTGAGGAGATGGCCTGTCTTTCTCCCTTAGAGTCACTGGTAGATTCAGACTGCAGCCACCTTTGGATCAGCAGCATAATTCCCGGGGACTAGGCCTCCAGAGCTCCTGCAGGGTTTGGAGGCAGGCCTTACATAAGACCGTGGTCAAAATAGCAAATCAATACTTTTAGACTATTCTCTCCCCCATAGACTTCAATGCCATAAACATATTTCATCCAGTTTTTCTCAGTCTTACCCCCACCCCAATGCCAGTCTCATTCTACAACAGTGGCACCATAAAAGTATTATATTTTAGGGCATTATTTTTATCGTAGGAGTACGCAATGAGGGTTGCAGAGTGGATTATATTTGGGGGTGGGGGTGGGGAGGTGTGGGGGGTTTAGGTACCAATGAGGGAGTTTTTCTTTTGCTTTTCAAGGAGAGGAGCAAAGGGGGGGGTGCAGGGAGAAGGGTGCAACAATGAATGAATGGAATTCCAAAATCTCTGTAGATGTCCATTGAAATGAAAAATAAACAAACTAAATTTAAAAAAAAAATAGCAAATCAAACTGTCTATCCTGTGGTACTGGAGAAGTATATTCTCCAAGTCTTCAATTTGATTCAATACACCCATTAAGTCGCTTGTTCTTTGTTTTTACATTGTTCTTAAATCAAGATAAATTTTAATAATATGTTATGGTTTATATTTGCATATATACCTAATAACAATCATTCATACTTTTGTAAGCCATGCGTTAACAATGTTCTTATGTCTTTTTTTATTTACTATTAGTTTCCTTAGAGTATACCAAAAGACCCTTAAATGCAGAAAAATTTTATGTCAAACCTTCTCAAATATTATGTGCCACTAAAATTAGCTTGTTTAACTGGTTGAATCTTTTCTGTCAATGTAATGTTCTGCTATTTTGAACACAGTGTATTACCAATACTAACTGATGCCTTTGAGTTGTAGTGCTGGAGAAGAGTCCTGAACATACCATGGACCACCAAGGAAACCAATAGGTCTATCTTGGAGAAAGTGAAACCAAATTTCTCCTTGGTGGCTAAGATTTTTAAGCTCTGCCTTACATACTTTGGGCCTGTGGCCAGGAGGGACTGCTTCTTGGAGAAGGACATCATGCTCAGATACAGTGACTAGGGCAATGAGGGTAGGTATGTCAGAGACAGATTAGCTCAGGACAGGGCAGGCTTCAGAGCTATGATACAAAGGGTCGCTATGAATCACAGGTGACTTGACAGCACATAACAAAAAGATCAAAATTATTACTATTTGGTCTGGTAGATTTTGGTTTGTAAATTATAAATATGATTATAAGATGCTTTTTCATTTACTTTTTTTTAATATTAAAAGCCATTTCCCCCTAAATACTTTAATGAATGAATGTTTTATTTCAGCTACTCACAATACTCACATCCATAACCTGTCAGCTTCAAAGGAAAATACTTTCCAATTTCCAATTGCCAAACTGTTTTAAGTTGTTGCTGTTGTTGTTAGGTGCCACAGAATCGAGTATGACTCACAGCAACTCTATGAACAGCAGACCTGAACCCTGCTCTAACCTGTGCCATCCTTATCTCTGAGACACTAGAACCCATTGCTGTGTCAGATCATCTCATTGAGGGGTCTTTCTTTTACTGACCCTCCATTTTTCCAATCGTGATGTCCCTTTTTAAGGAATAGCCTTGCCTAGCTATATATCCCAAGTATGAGAGATGAAGCTTTGCCATCAGCACCCAGACTGTACTTTTCTCCAAGACATATTTGTTTATTGGAGTATCTTATTTGGTATTCCTGCAATTCTTACAGCTTTGTTTTTCACTAGTGCCTTAAGTACAGCTTAGACTTCCTTTTTCAATACCATAGGTCATCAGTCTATACGACCTCCTGAAATGAATGAATATTGATCAATTCTTTTTTGGTATAGTTGCTAGTTGCTCTGTGTTTTTTTGGTTGTTTTGTTTTTTGTTTTTTTATGCCTCTTCTGTCATCCCATGTTTTGTCCATAGAATCCCTTAATAATGCAAGTTGAGGTTTGCCTTTTTTTCAACTTGAAAAATACTAAAATTTTTTCTTCCTTTTTGGTTTCCTAACTCCAGGTCTTTATTTTGTGTGTTTTATCATAGTACTATCGTTTATGTTCCTGAACTACCCTTCAAAAAATCTATTCAACTTTCTTCCACTCGTGGGCATCTAACACAGCTATTGTTGTTCAGGTGCTGAGTTTACTGTGACTCAGAGAGATTCTGTGAACAACTGATGAAAAGTTTGCCCTGTCCTGCACCATCTTCTGGATCTCCATCTACAGTCACTGTATGTCAGTCCGTCTTATTGTGAGTCTTCCTCTCTTGCTGATATTCTGCTTTCCCAGTATGATGACTCTTTCCAATCATTGGTCCCTCTTAACATGCCCAAAGTATGTGAGACAAAGTTTCACCCCGGCTGCACTTTCTTCAAGATAGATCTATTTGTAGTTTTGGCAGTTTGTGTGATAGTACACCACATGCAAAGGCATTGATTCTTCCTTGGCCTTTTCATTGTCCAACTTTCAGCTATAAAGGAGGCAATTTAAAACACCACTGTTTAGATCTAGCACAGCTTAAAAGGTGAATTCATTGAAAACAGTGACCAAGCCTTAGAATCAAAGCACAGCATGTAACTCAGTGACTTTTCCACAGAATCCATGGCACGCTATACCACAAGACTGAAGACCAGACCAACTTACTCATGGGTTGGAAGGCCATTGTTGGATCGAAAACTGCGCTGTCTAACCTACAAGTGAGTGATGGAATTGTCTTGGAAATGTAGTTTCTTCAAGTTATACGGTTTCTAACTTATATCCAATTTGAGGTAAAGCTACAATTTGGGGATTGACAGATAATGGATTAATACAGCATAAAAATAACATAAATGTAGCAGTTCGTGGTTGGGAAAGAAAATGTTATGGCAAGATAATAAGATTAGTGTGACAATGTTACATAAATTTAATGTGAGTTCTGTGAAATGCCTTAAATGACAGTAGAATTGTTAATGCTGATCCTCCCACCCCTAATGCCCAAGAGCTCTTTGAGCTATTTAATATGGATATTGGGTAGCTTTAAGGCCTCTTGATTTTTCTTTTATGTCAGATTAATTTATCAAACCCATTTCCTCTAGACTTATATGTAACTAGGTAAATATGTTTCTAATAGGAGAGTGGTAAGCACAGAGGAACTATTTAGGGAATTTTCTGTTGGGGAGCACTTCCCTCCTGCCCAGTGTCTGTGGAGCTTGGCCTACCCCAAGTAATTTTCTTTTTTTTTTTATTAAATGTTTTTTATCAATTATTTTTAATGCAACATATATAATTTTTATAGCATATTCTTTCCATTTAATTTTTCCCCCATTCATTCCTTGTTGCACATTTTTCTCCCTGCCCACCCCTCTCCCCTGTTCATTTTTCTCTTTGAAGGGGAAAAGAAAAATTCTTTTGTTCTTATACAGGTCTCCCCCAACCAGTCTACAGTCCACTTTAATATGCATTTCTTTTTATGTAATCTTGTCATGAAAATAATACTTATCCCTTTTAAACAGTTTTCTCCCTCATCTGTTTCTACACAGTGTACATTATTTATGTCCTTTTCTTAGGCTCCGCCTAACCCTGATGTCAGTCCCGTTTTATAACAGTGGCACTGTGCAGTATTTGTCCTTTTGTGACTGAGATATTTCACTCAGCATAATGTCCAGAATCACCCATTTTGTGTAATATTTCATGAGTTCCTTGTTTTTCAGTGCAGTATAGTATTCCATTTTGTGAATATACCACAGCTTCTCTGTCCATTCATTTGTTGATGGGCAGTTAAGTTGTTTCCAACTCCTTGCTATTGTGAATGAAGCCGCAATAAACATGGTGTGCATATATCTGCTTGGGTGGCAGTTATGGTTTCTTTAGGGTAGATTCCCAGTAGTGGAACTGCTGGGTCAAATGGTATTTCTATTTGCAACTTTTTGAGAAAGCTCCACACTGCCCTCCAGAGTGGTTGCACCATTTAACACTCCCACCACAGTGAATAAGGGTTCCAGTTTCTCCACAACCTTGCCAGAATTTGTTGTTTGCTGTTTTTGGGGGGGTTTTTTGTGGGTTTTGTTTTTTTTTAAAGTATAATTTCCATTTTCTTTTCAGATGAGTTTTTTCTTCAGCCTTTAAGGAATCAAATCTTTACATGGGTTTTGGTGGTGGTTGTGGGCAGCACCTGCAGATTTAAATCTAGGTGCAGGTGTTCGGTCCTTCCAGGCTTCACAAGAACGGTTCCTCACCACCTTGCTGTGAATGGCACAACTCACACAGTAGTGCATTTTCACATAGCGCTTTGGAAGCACATGTACGTCAAAGACACTCGCTTCGGAAATGTCCCTGACAGCAGCTGCCTCTACCATATTTCGAATTACTAACTTCTTAATTGCCTTGTTTTGGGGCACGCAACTGGCGCAGTTCATGCAGTGAATAGGCTGTAAGTGGCCGCAGCCCTTTTTGGCATGACCATTTGTTCTCCTTTTCTTTGTCATGTTGGAAGCGAGGGTCCAAGAGAGAGCGAATTTTGCTATTCTGACTGGGGTGAGATGATATTTCATAGTTGTTTTGATTTGCATCTCTCTTAGAGCTAGGGATTTTGAACACTTCTTCATGTGTTTGTTCACCTTCAGAATGTCTTCTTTGGTGAAGTGTCTTCATACCTTGTGCCCATTTTTCAGTTGGGTTTTTTACCTTTGTCTTGTGGTGCTAAGTAATTTTCGTACATGCTTTTGTTATATTACAGGGAAATGGCTGTGAAAATGGATGGTTGTTCAACTCAGATTCACATCCAAGTTGGACAGTTTGTGCTAATTGAAGGCAAAGATGATGAAAATCCATATGTTGCTAAATTAATTGAGTTGTTTGAAGATGGTGAGTTTGGGTCTTGAGTGAAAACTATTTCTTGTTGTGAACCACTGGGGAATATTAGGTGATGGGAAACTGAGGAAGGTACCGATTCTTGTGCTTGAAATAACATAGAGAATCCCTTTGAGTGTGAAGTGGGGACTCTTAAATACTGGTTATACTCTCCTTCCATCTAATGAACTCTAGCTCTCACCAGAGTAGCAGTAAGTACAACAGGATTGGCAGGATCATGAGTTTAATTCTGCTATTATTATTATTAGGAGTGGGTAGGAACGGCCAATAAGGCAGTATCTTTGCAATGGAGAGAAAAGATAGTCAAGAAGAAGGAGCAATGGAAGCAATAAATGAATTAAATAGAAAAACAGTACATTCACACAATGGAAAATTACACAGCGTTAAAAAATAACAAACTCGTAAAACATTACACAGCATGAGGGGGCCTAAAGGACGTTATGTTGAGTGAAATATTTTGGTCACAAAAGGACAAATACTGCATAACACCACTTTTATAAAAGAGGGGGTTGAGAGAATGTGGAAAGAGTGGATAGATAATGCACACTGCAGTAGAACAGATGAGTGGAAGAACTGTCTGAAAGGAATATTTGATTGGGCATTATTTGTATGATAACAGTCTGGAGCAAGGGGTGCATTGTGGAAGGGACTGGGGGAAGTAAATGTGCAGCAATGAATTTTAAAAAAGTATTTGTCAGTTCTCAAAATAGATCAAGAGGGTAGTAAATAGGTGCTTTTCACTATAGCAGAGATGTGGCTTATTCTGGCATATGGAAATTATTACCAAATTTCGCAAGTGCAACTTCTTTACGAAAAAGTATATAAATCAATTGGAGGGCATGTCAATTGGTGTTCAGTCAGGAAAATAAAAACACTTTTGATGTTTCTACTCAGAGGGATTTGGGTACAACTTTTGAAAGGCTGAGGGAACAAAAGGGGAAAGATGATATTACCCTTAAATCTTTACACAGAAGAGGGAGGATAGTACTAGAATCTATCAGCCATACTCACCATCTGAGCTGAAATTCCAAGCGTCTGTTTTCAGCAAGAAATCTCTTGTGGCCTACTGGGTAAACAGTTGTACTGTCAACCCAAAGGCAGGCAGTTCAAGTTCACGAACTGCTCCAAGGGAGAGAAAGATAGGCAATCTCCTCCCTTGTGATATACAGCCTCTGAAAACCCTCTGAGGGATCAATTATGAGTTGGTTCCAATGTCATGGCAGTGAGTGATCTTTGCAAATGCTCCTTTCTTATTCATAGGGTTTTCAAAGACTTGTTATTAACAAGTCTGTCTTGGAGAAGTGAAATCTTAGGGGCAAAGATGGTGCAACTTCCTCTCATATACTCTGGACATCTTGTAAGGAGGGACATTGGGGGAAAAAACATTATGCTGGCAAAGGTGGAGGGGCAAAGAGAAGATGACCCTCAAAGTAGATGGACATAATGACTACAGCAATGGGCCTGAGCATATCTGAGGCTGGTGCAGGATAGGGCGGGATTCAGACCTGTTGATCATAGGGTTATTAGGAGTCGTAGTTGACTGGATAACACCAAACAACATCAGGAGAGTACATAAAGGTGGAATTGAGCAGATTAAGAAGGAAGATGGCCATTTAAAACTACAAAAAACTAGGGGTGCAAGTGCAGCAATGAATGAATGAAAATCCAAAATCTCTGTAAATGCTCATTAAAATTATTTTTTAAAAAAACAACTCGGGGTGAGAGGAGAGACAAGGTGCTGCACAAAAAATAAAGAAAAAACTACACCACACTAAATCTTCCCATAGCAAAGACAGATTGTATCATTTTCTCAGAACTAAGGAAGTCTTGTATCCCTAAAAAAGGAACATGAGTGACATAATGGCATGAGTGGGTAAATGTCAGAAGGGTATTTGAAAGGTGTGGAGAACATTTTCATCAAACTAACATCCACTGGAGGGAGCATGTCCACAGAAGTTGGGTCTTTCATGCATCGCTTTTACAATCTTCACCTGTTGTATGGTGAGATGGTTCTCGTCTTTGTAGAGAACTAAGGAAGGAAGTGAATGGTGGTGCTTCTGTCACTGGATATCAGTTGTGTGGAGCACCAGCAGCCAGGAAATCAAAAAACATATTGCGATGGGAAAGGCTGCTGTTAGGGACCTCTCCAGTGTACTGAAGAGCAATGGTGTCTCTCTGGAGACCAAGGTGCATCTGATACATGCTATGGTCTTTGCAATCACTTGAGAGAGTTAGACAGTGACTAAGGAGGATAGAAGGAGAATTGATGCCTTTGAGCTGTGGTGCTATAGAAGAGTATTGAATATACCATGGACTGCTAAGAGAACGAACAGGTTCATCCAAGAGAGTGAAATCAGGCTGCTCCTTGGAGGCAAGGATTCTGGGGCTTCGTCTGACATACTTTGGACATGTTGTAAGGAGAGACAGGTCCTTGGAGAGGGACATCATGTTTGGAAGGGTGGAGGGACGGCACAGGAGGGGAAGACCCTCTATGAGGTGGATTGATTCAGTGACTGGGGTAATCAGGATGGTTGTGTCAGAGGCAGTGCGATTGGCACAGGATAGAGCAAGGGCTGTTGTACATAGGGTCGCTGTGAGTCGCAAGCGACTTGACAGCACATAACAACAACAAACAGCATGGAAATATTGTAGCTGAAAGTATAAATATAGATTTGCCAGAAGTCACCTCAGTCTGATTTTGCTCTATTTCCTGCTCAGTTTTCACTTTGTTGGTTTCTTGGGTGTGTGTACCGTCAAATTGGATCCATTTGGTACAGGAGGAGATTGTCCCTCCTTCTCCAGCGGAGCATCTGGTGGACTTGAACCGCACACTTTCACAATTGCAGTGCAGCTGCTTAACATTAGGCCACCAGAGCTCCCTTTGTTGATTTCTTTATAGTCGCTGTTGAGGCTTGGTTAATTGCTGATCTGCTAATCAAAAAGTCAGCATGTTGTATGAGTAAAGACCTGATAGTCTGCTCTGTAAATGCTCTAGCCTTGACAACTCTATAGGGCAGTTCTACTCTGGCCTGTAGGGTTGCTGCTAGGCCTCAGAATCTATCCAACAGCACACAGTCACCCTTATGTGAGCATATCACCAAGTACTTTCTCCTTTAGGATGGCTGTGTTTCCAGCTGCTTTGGAGCAGCAGCTGTGTCCTTAATGGTTTCAATACCACAAGGATGTGATTAGAGTTGTTATAAGTCATCAAGTTATTAAGACTTACAGCTGACCCTCCAGCAGGTTTTCAAAGGCTGTAAATCGCAAAGGAAGAGCCTGCCCATCTTTCTCCCCCAAAACAGCTAGTGGATTCCAACACCATGCTTTTGGGTTGGGAATGCAGCTCTCTGCCCACTAGGCAGAGTATCCATCCATTAGACTCAACTCAACTCATAGCAGTCAAGTCAGAACTAACTCATAACAGCCCCTCCAGCAGGTTTTCAGCAGGTGTAGATTGCCCAGCTTTCTCCCACTAATGGTTTTAATCCATCTGTCTTAGCAGCTCAGGTTCTTAAGTACTTGGCCATCAGAGGTCCCTTTCCTTAGAGTAGTTTCTGTCAAAGTTTTTTTGTAATTCCTTTGTTGACTGATGGCATCATGTAGAAGTGAAGTAAATAAAAAAAGAGTCAAGTGTGAAGAGCATGGGAGCTAAGTGAGCTCTAATGATTGCTATTTGATCCGAGGGACTTTGACAAATTATTAAAGGTCTCATAACTTTATTTTGTTGGTGAAGGGGGATTAGCTGTAGCACCTACTTTGTGGGATTATTTTGAGAATAACTCAAGTGCTTCGCACAGGTTCTGGCATAGGAAGTGGTCACAAAGTTTATTCCAGCTGGTGGGTGGTCGGTAGCTAAAAGATATGCTTTATCCTTCCTTTTTCCACCTATTCTCTCATAGAATCTGACGTTTATTCCACAAAGCGTGCTCGAGTACAGTGGTGTGTCCGATTTTGTGAAGTTCCTGTGTGTAAACAGCATTTGTTGGGCCGGAAGCCTGGCGCACAGGAGATATTCTGGTATGATAACCCTGCCTGTGACAACAGTATTAATGCTGAGACCATCATTGGTCCCGCACGGGTAAGTCATGCCTTGTGCCATTCTGGTCTAATGTGAAAATTATTTTTGTTGGCTTCTTAACAACAAACATGTCCTCAAAACTGTTACTGGCTCTGATATTCTCTGCTCATTTACATTCACTGCTGTCAAGTAAAAACTGACTCACAGGCTGACCCTCCAGTGGGTTTTCTGGAGGCTCTAAATTGCATGGGAGAGATTGCCCATCTTACTCCTGCGGAGCCGTTGGTGGACTTGAACCACCAGTGAGACATGACCTTTGGGTTAGCAGCACAGTTCTCCATGGACTAGGTCACCAGAGCTTCCCAATTTACTGCACAGGAAATGAATTTTTTACCTGTCCTCTTCTTCTTTGCTTACCTGTCTACTTAATCTCGACAGACATTTATTGAGAGCACTCACCATGTGCTAGGAGCCTCCTAGAGGAAGTGACATTTAGGTTGTCACCTAAGGGATGAGCAAGAATTAGCAAATGTATCTCAGTGGGAAATTATATTTAGCTGTGATTATGGTTAGCATCTAGTATTGTGAGGCTAAATATGATTACTCAAATGAGGACTTCACCTTGAGTAAATCCGTTGTTACTCTCAGCAAATTTCTGTTTAAGATATTTTTATGGTAAATCAGGTGCTAATGGGCTGCTAGTTGCAGCCTGGGTTGAGACACCAGTTTGATGACTAAAGATATTCGTTATTCTTACAGGTACTTCAGGTCTCAAAAGTGGGTTGAGATGAATATATGCATGATACTTGTGCATGGTGATGCAGATGGTTGGTTTAATGATAAAAGTTTAATGATAAAAATTACTTTGGCCTGGAAAGACTGTCTTCAGATTTTTCCAGTTTACCTTCCAAACTCTGGGCCCGGCCTAACATATCTTATAGCATAGTGTTAACTAGGTAAGAAAGCAAGCTGGAGTATTGCAGGTTAGGTAGATCTGGAAAGGCAGAGGGCAGGATAGGAGTACTTTGGACAGTAGTACATTGATGGGGCCAGATTTTAGAAGGCTTTGTAAACCAGTTAAGTGGTTTGATCTTGGGTTCCTGGAAAGTACAAAATCACCCAGAATTGTCCAGAAACAGTCCTTCCTAGTGCTGTACTTCTGAAACATCACAGCCTTGAAACCCCTGTGGAACAGTTTACTCTCATCTGGGCTTCTGTGTAAGTCAGGATCTATTAACAATCTGGTTTTACAGTTGAGGACCATTATAGGCTATTGACAAAGGTCCTGGTGGTATAGATGGTTACATGTACTGCTAACAGGAAAGGTCAGGGGTTCATATCCACTAACTGGTCCCCAGTGGACGGTCACCCTGAGCTAGAAGCAAAGTGGCAGAAGTGGGATTATAGACTGCTGAGGCAGGATCATGCTTAGGAAAGTTTTTGTGGGAAAATTTGTCATGTATAAGTAAAATGGACTGGAAAAGAACGCATTGTTGAGTATATCAGCTAGAGAGGAGTCTCTGGAAATAATGTAGGAATGAGATAATGTGTCTTTGAAAAAGGGAGAGTAGTATGACTTCACAGGAAGCCAATAAATACTTTAAAAATGAATTGAAAGGCAGGGCATTCTGGTGGCCTAGTGGCAAGAAGCTGCACTGCAATCTCAAAGGCACGTAGTTCAAATCCTCCAGATGCTCCGCTGGAGAAGGAGGGCCAATCTCTTCCTGTACCAGTAGGATCCAACTCAACAGTACACAAGAAGGGGGGGAAAAGGGATTATGTTTCTGGATATTTCACTGACATTTTAAAATCTATTAATTATTAAATGAGTAAATGGATGTTAACTCTTCTCTCGTTTTTTTTTGTGTTTTTTTTTATTAAATTTTCATTGCCACAAGCTGTGCCTCTTTAGACTAAACAAGTAACATTGTACATTGCTTCTCCGTGATTATTCTTATTGGGCATTCCTTGGCTGTTTTGGTCCTGATCTCTTCCACTCTCTTATTACTTTCTATATTCAGGTAGTAGCTTTAGCCCAAAGTGAAGTAATTCCTGAGGATTTGAAAGATGAAGAGACACTCTTTGTGAAACTATCCTGGGATGAGAAGAAGTTCAGACCACTGTCTCCAGAAGTGTTTTCAGAATTGGAAAAACTCCAGGAAAGCAGCCCCAGGCATCAGAAGCTGGTTGGAGCCAAGGCTCTGATCGAAGAAAGTCCTGCAACCAATATAGAACATGCAGTCAAAAGGATTGAACCAAGACACTGTGCATCTAAAGCTTGCCAAACTCCCACCCATTCAGCTACTCCACTGGCAAGGAGGAGGCTGGAGCTCAGCAGTAAGTGTGAATGGCTCACAGTGGACAATAATGAGGTAGAAGTAATATGATATTTAGTCAGGTGACGGGGTTAAGTTAGGGCATCACCGGATCAGGTTCTAATTGAACATACTAAAACTTCCATTCCATTGAATAGGTAGGCCTTATAGAATCCAAAGTGGCCACCTCATGTGAGAGATGGACAGTTTCTTCTGTGTGATTTACGATTTACAGCCTCAGAAACCTGCTGAAGGGTCAGCTTTGAGTTGGTTCAGACTCAGAACCAGTGAAATGATGAGTCAGAAATGACTCCGTGTCAGTGGGTTTGGTTTATTGGCTTTTTAGTTGTTTTATGAGTATTCACATACAGGCACTCCATAATTCTAGACTTAATTGTAACTTTACCTCACATTTGATGGAAGCCACTCAAGTGTACACTATGCCTTCCACCTTGTTTCCTTTAATCCTGGCACATTCTTTCTCCTTCTCCTTTCAACTTTGCCCATATTTGATCTTTTCCTCAAGGCATGTCTTTACTAGAGCTTCAGTGTGAGAAGACACCTATTTACACTGCAGGCATTCATCTATATCACTTCCTTCTTGGATTCAGAGACCAGGACTGGTTCTCATTCAGCTTTGTTCCTCCTAGCACTTGGTATATACTTTGCCACCTCGAGAGCTCAGATGATGTCTCTGGACAATAACTAGGGCTTTGGGTGCCTGTGGTTATAGTGAGGGGGAAGCAAACTCTCATATACATTAATACCCATTTGTATCCCCAGTTGATTGTCCCAAGTCCATCTTTATTGGTATATAACGTTTGTTGTTGTATAACATAGAGCCGGAACAGACCCATAGCTGAACCTCCAGCAGGTTTTCAGAGGCAGTTAATTGTACGAGAGGAGATTACCTATCCTTCTCATTTGGGTTGAAAAAAATCTAGGCCTTAGTGTTACTTATTAGGAGAAGTTTTTTGTTAGTATAAAAATTTTTTAGCTTATGAGGAGAGTGGTGAGTAAAATCGAGCTTTGTGGGGCTTTCTTAGTTGTGAACGTCATAGAAGCAGATCACCAGGCTTTTTTTTCTTCTGCAAAACTGCTTGTAGATTTTAACTACAAGCCTTCTGATTAGTAGCCAAATAATTGTGCCATTCAGGGAACTCTCTACACTGAAAACCAACCTCATTTAGATTATGGGGAAACCTAACTGCTAACCGTTCCTCTATAAAACCTGGTTTAGCACTTGACTTGAGATTCTGACTAAAAAAGAAATTTTAGAGGGTGGTGAGAAAGAGACCAAAATTGGTTAAATGTGCCTGTGTGGTGAAAGGAAGCATGAGATAATTAAAAATATGAGAAAGCATTCTGTGTATAACCTCAGAAAGAAAATTTAGCTATAATGGGATTCAGAGTGTTTATAGTTTTTGTTATACAATTCACACACAATGTCTGTGATAATTTCTCTTGGGTTTAGGTCTCCCCAAGACACCAGACTCTAGGACTTCCCAGCAGACTGCCTCTTTGAGATCTCCAGAAAGAACTAAGCAGAAAGTGGCCTGTGAGATCACCTCACCTCGTAAGAGGCCTCAGCCTGATGAACTTAAAATTTCATCTCCAGCTTTTAAAACCCTTTGTACCAAGGACACCTGGAAGTCTTCACCTGAATGTCACATGACCCTAAGGACCCGAAAGTCATCTTTAAAAGCTACAAAGATTAATGAGGAACAACTGTCCCCCATCAGAGGGGGACGGAAATCCTTGGTGGTGTCAGATGTGATCCTGAAGCCACAGAACAACAAAAAGAGGTACCTGAGAATATCACCCTGCCTCCCACAGCAGTGAGAGCGTGTACATGGCGTGAAATGTGTTGGCTACAGTCAAGAGCAATGATTGGCAATGATGGTGTCATAGAATCACTGGGGAACTTTGCCAAAATTTAGATGTCTGCATTGATAGGGAATTGCATTGCAAACCCAGCTATGATATGCCTCTGAAGTCTGAATCCACCAGTGGTTCTTCGGGAAGATGGACTTAGAAGCCTGCTGGAGGGTCAGCTATGAGTTGGTTTTGACTCGATGGCTGTGACTGAGGATTTTTCATGGTGTTTTTTCCTCAGGCATAGTGAATCAGTCTTTAGGCATAGGGCACAGGAAACCATATTTTTTTAAAATGTTCTGGAGTGATTATGCTACATCTAGTCATTGTTTGGGGATCAAAGCTCTTGAATATGACTCCCCCGACCTGAATTGCCTCATAGTCCAGAATTTAATTTTACCTGTCATTTTCTTAGGTTTTTTTTTTAACTAAAACGTTTTCAAATATATTTTATTTATTTATGTATATTTATATTTATTTATATATATATATAATCTAGTATAAGAAGATAATGCTTCTAAAATAACTTTGAGGTTGGACATTAGTTAATGTTTGTATATAAACTAAACATGTGACAAATCAGAAGTTACATTATTTCTTTCCTGCTTGGAAATTCTGCTAATTAGCACATAATCCATTGCTCAGCAAAGGCTTTATATTTAAATGTAGCTCCATTTCTGCTAACTTTGAACCCAGGTGAACAGAAATTACAGATTTATTAGAAACAAAACAGGACAAGCAGCTGATTGGGATTAACTATTCTAGTCTCTTCTTTGGGAACTCTGGTGGCTTAACAGTAAGGATTGGGGCTGTAGTTCAAATCCACCAGCTGCTCCACAGGAGAAAGAAGGGCAGTATCCTCCCATACATTTAACTGCCTCTGAAAGCTTGCTGGTTACCTGTGAGTTGGTTCCAACTATGGTATATACAACAAGAGTCTTTTCTTGTGGTTGTGGGGGCATATTGTAATAAGCCTCAGACCAGCTTTCATCTCTGGGTTTGATTTGATTCAAACTTCAAGGTAACAGATTGATTGATTTAAAAGGGCAAAATGAGATTGTTATAGCTGTTGCATGCCATCAAGTTATTTATTTAGTTATTTATTTATTTTTTTATTTATTATTTATTTAGTTATTTATTTAAAAGCGCAAAATGAGATTGTTGTAGCTGTTGCATGCCGTCAAGTTGGAACTGACCCATGGCTGACCCCTCCAGCAGGTTTTCCGAGTTCTCACATAGGAGGAGATAGCCCATTCTTCTCCCGCAGAGCTGCTGGTGGATTCAAACCAAGCTGCAGTAGAAGGAGCTGGAGCCAGTCAGACCAGTGGGCTGTCTTCAGTGTCTCTGCTGATCCTCCACCCCCAGAACCACTTCCTGTAACCTTGCTGTGGTATCTTGCAGGGAGTCAGGAGAACCCCAACCTCAGAATGAGGCTACATCCACTCCACATCGGGTTCGCAGAAAGACCTCTCTCTTGACTTTGAATCTGATTAAGCAGCAGCTTCGGTAAGATTGCTTCTTGGTAGGTCAAAAAAACAGCTGCCATCTGTGGTACTGAGGACCTTATCCCTTAAAGCCTCTTAAGTCGTTTGTTATTTGCTAATCCACTAACATTTGCTTTTCACCTAGTATGTCTGGAAATACTTTGGTGCACATAAATGTCACAGTTAGGAAGGGAAAACAAAAACTACTCTGGGCTTAGGTGACTCCCAGAGCCCCAGAATCATGCCAGAAAGACTGGTGGTGGGAAGCAGTGTTGTGGGATGGATGCTAAGAGCATTAGCTTTGATTGTGATAGGCATAGATTTGAAGCTGGTATTTGTCACTTACCGTGGAACCTTGAGATGTTTACCTCTCCTTTCCAACGTTTCCAATTTCCTCATCTATAAAATGAGAACAATAACATATAACCCACAAGTTGATTGAGAGGTCAGTGAGGTAATATCAATAATGCATGTAGAGTATCTCAGCAGCAAGAACTCAAAAAGTAGGGCCAATCCTTTATGACCTACTCACAGGGGAAACATGGCCATACTCTACTCCACACTGACCTGTTATGAAGCTTCTCTTGATTAGACTTTGAACACTGCATGCATGGTAATAATGTTCTCAACACCAGGTTTTTAGGTGGTGGTACAAATGATCAAGAAGATAAAGAGTATCTACCAGCAGCAGAGATTTCAGACTCAAGCAGTGAGGATGAAGAGAAAGAGTTTCCACCAGAGGCAGAGAATTCAGACTTGAGCAGTGAGGAGGAGGAAGACGCTTCCGTGCCACCCCTCCGAAGGACACCCCGCAGATCCTGGACCCTGCCATCTTCCACAAAGTCATCCTTACAGACTCCTTCCAGGACACCAAAGAAAAGGGTAAGAGTCTTTTAGTGAAGCAGCATCCTCTTAATTTAAAAGCTTTGGAGGCCAAGGCCACACAGAACTTATTTCTGAGGAAACATCTGTCCTGTTAAAACTATTTCTCTTGGAATATTCCTGGGGGGAAAGAGTTAGTTAAGTGAATCTTAGAGCTGAAAAACTATCTCATCTTTGCATTTCTCAGAAAACCTAGCATTTTGTACATACTTGGTGCCCATTGGCTACTAATTCGTAACTGCTGACCCTGTGCACATTGTTGTCTTGTAATACACATAAGAAGCTGGGAGCACTATGTGGGTGTTAGTAATGAATTGTGTAATTGTGAGACAGGCATGAGAGATTGATGGGCTTCCTGTGGAACAACAGCAACTTCTCAATTCAAAGATGTCTGAGAATTAAAGTTAAATTGGCCTCTTTATCATATGACTTCTTAGGGTCATTAGTTTATTAATTCATTGTGACCTACAAAGAGAGCGCTGGTGTGTTTCTCAGTCTTTCACTTTTTTCATGATGCGAATTGTCCTCTGGAACACAGTTGGAAATTCTTTGTTGATGTTACTGTTAGTTACCCTGGCGATGTATGTCTTCCATGGAGAAAGTAAAACTGCCCTCCCTGGGGTTTTCAGTGTTAGGACCTTTTGGAAACAACTAGCCAAGCCTCACAGGTGCTTCTGAGCATTTAAACCACCATCCTTCGGGCTAGTTCTTGAGCGCTTAACCTTCTGCACCACGACACATGCCTTGAGGAGATGCTTGATATTAGTGCCATCGACCTCACTGCCACAGAACAAACACCGCCCAGACCCATGACCCCTCACAGGCACTGCAGTTTGAGCATACTGTCGCAGCTTCTGTGCCCATCCATCTCATTGATTTCCTGACATTCTGCTTTACCAGTAGATGCTGTGGTGATGGAGTAACATATCAAGCTGCTAATCAAAAGTCTGGCAGTTCACCGATTGTGATGGAGTTGACTTTGACTTACGGTGACCCAGTGTGTTACTGAGTAGGACTGCTCCATATGATAACCTTGGCTGTGATCTTTACAGAAGCCTTTCTTCTGTGCCTGCTGGATGGATGGATTTGGTTTGCCAGCCATGGGGCTAGATTGGCTCCAAATTGATTGCACCGCCCCAGGACCTACAAGAAAGGAAAGAGAATAGGACTGTTATTTTAGACCAAGCAATAACTGTAGGATTTGGAATAGATAAATTCAGTGAGGTTTCATCAAACACTTGACTGTGGAATATGGAAAACCCGAGTTTATCAACTTTTCTTTTATATATAGAGAGAGAGAGAAAGAAAGAATGGATTTCCATTCGCTCACTGTGGCATTTTATCACCTTTTCAAACAAATTTAGAAAATTACTTGAGTTTACCTTTTACTCTGTATTTGGACAAGAATTTCTTTTAAGATGATATTTTAAACTATTTAATCCATACTTTCTTTTATTAATTCATTCTTCATATTTACATTCTTTTCAAATCCTGGTACTATATGTGAATTGTTGTTATGTGCCGTCGAGTCGTGTCTGACTCATAGCAACCCTGTGTACAACAGCCCTAAACTCTGCTCTGTCCTGTGCCAATTGCACTGTCTCTGATACACCCATCCCGATTACCCCAGTCACTGAATCAGTCCACCTCATAGAGGGCTGTCCCTCCACCCTCCCAAGCATGATGTCCCTCTCCAAGGACCAGTCCCTCCTTACAACATGTCCAGAGTATGTTAGACTGAGCCTCAGAATCCTTGCCTCCAGGGAGCTGCCCTGTTTAACCCTTTCCAGGACAAATCTGTTTGTTTGCCTAGCAGTCCATGGTACTCTCAATACTCTTCTCCAGCACCACAGCTCAAAGGCATCAATTCTCCTTCTATCCTTCTTAGTCAACTGTCCAACTCTCTGATGCATAACAAGTGATTGCGAAGACCATGGCCTGTATCAGAGGCACCTTAGTCTCCAGAGAGACACCATTGCTCTTCAGTACTTTGAAAAGGTCCCTAACAGCAGACTTTCCCATGGCAATACATCTTTTAATTTCCTGGCTGCTGGTGCTGAGTATTGACTGTGGAGCCAAACAAACTAAAGCTGTGACCAATCTCAATCTCTTCACCATCCATCCTGATGCTGCCAATTGGTCCAGTGGTGAGAATCTTTGTCTTCTTGACATTGAGCCTTAATCCATATTGGAGGCTGCAGTCCTTGCCCTCTGCAGCAGGTGCTTCATATATGAATTAGGAAAACATAAAATGTGCTAGGCTCTGAACAGTATTATCTGTAATTGTGAAGTTAAAGAGGGAGAATCCTTGGTTTTTTATGTACAGAAGAACTAAGGATTTCACCACTTTGCTTCGGTTTATCAGATCATTTGAATCAATTGTGTTGAGATGCTCTGGATAGTTGTACAGGATTGGTTTTCCTTTCTGAAATGTGTTCTCCTTCTGAATAGCCTGTGCATAGAACGCCATGTCAGGCCACGCCCCAGATCCGCCACCGCAGCCTCGCTGCCCAGGATCCTGCCAATGTGCTGGAGGAGGCCCGGCTGAGGTGAGGGAGATGGGTCTCTGCTTCATTCCCCTAAAGCGGAGGTCATCTGCAGTTGGTTGTGTTCCTAGTAAAGGCAGAGTCAGACGACCATGTGTACTTATAAGGGGAGTCCTTTCTCTCAGGCAGCGCCCGGGTGAGTGCACTGCAGTGTGCTGCTATCTTTTCCTCAGAGATGTGGGGTGGTTAGGACCCTGCTTCTAAGTTATGACAAAAAACTTTGTGGGACCCTTTTCAAACTACCTAAGCCTAGATCCTGCCAGAAATCTTTTTAGTTGGTCTTATGGGATGAAGTCTACTCACATAAATTCTTTGGGTGATACTTGCCTTTGGTTATTAACAGCTGAGTTGACTGATTTAGGTGTAGAAAGGAAGGACAATAGAAAATTACAAATGAAGGCACTTCCTGGTTGAGGTTTGTTGTAGAACTGTAGACACATCTTTGTTTATCAAGATGATGGCAAGATGCTTCTAACGTCCTTGTCCCCGTTTACTGGAACTGTAGGTTGCATGTTTCTGCCGTACCCGAGTCTCTCCCCTGCCGGGAGCAGGAGTACCAAGACATCTACAACTTTGTGGAAAGTAAACTCCTAGACTGTACTGGAGGGTGAGTTGTGCTGAGGCAGACAGAATGGCTTGAGGGAAAATAGATAAACTCCTCATATAATATAAGCCTAATGTATAACAACCATTTTACCAAGTAATTCTATAGAAATTCTGCTTTTCCCAAAGAATGGAAGTAGGCTTTCTTGGTAGGTGGTATGTGAGCAGCATTGCTTATGGAGTGGATGGTTTGTATGAAGAAGTCTGTTGTGACCATCTTCCAAGAATGGTCCTTTCTGCTCTCACCTCCACTCAGCAGGGTCTCGGTCTTCCCCCAGTGTATTCTCACGTTCTTGTCTTGTGTGGCATGGGTCTTCCTTTCTCACCCTAGGTGCATGTACATCTCCGGGGTCCCTGGTACAGGCAAGACTGCCACTGTACACGAGGTGATACGCTCTCTGCAGCAGGCAGCCCAAGAAAATGATGTCCCATCCTTTCAATACATTGAAGTCAATGGCATGAAACTGACAGAGCCCCACCAAATCTATGTGCAAATCTTGCAGGTAAGCAAAGCTTTGGGGGCTGTTTGGTTACATAGGAATGATTTTTGTGATTATGACAACTGCTTGTGACTCCCTGGAATTTCAAACACATTTCCTTCCCTTTTTTATCATATTTGGTGCCTTCTCTTGAACATCGAGGTTAACATTGAGACTAGAGTAGAAGGCAGAGTATTGGACAGTGAGGTCCTTAGACTGAATAGCTTCTGTGGCTTCTGGTTTACTTTTACATCTATGAGAGTAAAATCTTTGTCCTCTACCAACACTTAAAGTTTTTGTCCCCAAATGCAGAAGCTGACAGGCCAAAAGGCAACAGCCAGCCATGCAGCACAGCTGCTGACAAAGAGATTCTGCACACACAGCTTGCCTCAGGAAACTACCGTGTTGCTCGTGGATGAGGTGAGTGAAGAGGTCCCCATGGGGATGAGGAGAAAAGGGGCAGAGTTTGACTGATGCTCCAAGAGCAATGACTGGGCAGAGGGCTCCCTCCATTGTGAACCTGAACCCCTTCTCTGGGGACCCCTCTTGACTTTCTCTTTGCTGCCCTGGTAATATGTCTTGAGAAACCTGTAGCATTCTGGGACCAACCCTGCCTCTCTTTCCATTTCCCTGACAGCTTGACCTCCTGTGGACTCAGAAACAGGACGTAATGTACAATCTCTTTGACTGGCCCACTCACAAGGAGGCCCGGCTAGTGGTCCTGACCATTGCCAACACAATGGACCTGCCAGAGCGAATGATGATGAACCGGGTGGCAAGCCGACTGGTGGGTGCCAGGACAGCTCTCAGGCTGTTCTTCCAGCTCCATGAGCTGCATTCAGGAGTGGTTCTGCAAAAATACCCTTCTTTTAAAAATGTGGAAAACAGTAAGAGTGCTTTTCTGAATATTATAATTCTTATGTTGTAATTAAATATGTCATCATTGCATGATTTTCCACAAATATCAAAGCTAAAAAAGCAGAGCCATAGAAGTTTAATTATTTTTTTAAAAAATTTATTATGTTTTAGTATTAGATGCTTGGAGACTAGCAGTAAGCAAGGCAGGTATTGTCTCTATTCTTATCGTCCAGGAAGTACATCAGAGAAATTTAAGGGAAGACCGGGGCTGTGTACTGTAGATCTTCCCGCCCACTTTTGTCAGATTATCTGTTTCATCTAATTTTATTAATTCTGCTATAATAAAAGTTCTTAAATGAAATGAAAGGTAACTATAAAACTGCTGCCCTACAGAATGCTGCTGACCATTGTCAGGAAAAAAAGGAGCAGAAAGCAGTCCTGGGATGAGGGTCGGGTGGACGTTAAATAGCACTTGGAAATCTGGTGGGGACTTGGACTGTCAGAGTGAGTGTTCACTGATCTGTCTTCTCATCGCCCCAGGGTCTCACCAGGATGTCCTTTCAGCCCTACACTCATAGTCAGCTGCAGCAGATCCTAATGTCCCGACTGAAGCATGTGAAGGCCTTTGAGGATGATGCTATCCAGCTGGTAGCCAGGAAGGTGAGTCGCCTTCAGGACGCGTCTTAAAGCCCCTAGAGTGCGGTCAGATCACATGATGTGATCCCCTATGCTGAGTGTTTTGAAGCTAAAGTTTAGAAAATCCTGTTTAAGAAAAAGAAACAAAGTGGGAGAAAAGTCCTTAATCATTTCACATCAGTTTATAAATAGCAAGGCCACGAGTATGGTGGGTTTATATTTGTGTTAACAAACAGGGCTGTTATAATGAGAGCAGCAGAGTGGGAATCAGGTAAACCAATCTGGCTCAGATTAACACTTAACTGCAGGTGGGAAGTTCTGAAAGAGTTACTTTAAACACTCCCTTGAGCCTTAACTGTCCACTCTGAAAAATAGAAAAATACTCACTACCTTCTCGGGTCCTTGTAAGAATTAAAATAAGCATTTTAGCACTGAGAATAGTTATAAACTTATTTCTTGTTTTTTCTTGCTCTAAAAGATCGGAACTCACTGTCTACAGCTCACAGCTGGTATTCTATTAGAGGAATTATTCATTAGGAATTAACTAATAATTAGGAATTATTAGAGGTATTCTATTGAAGGGTGGAAGTGAGCCAGTTAGATTTGTCTCTTTCCAGATTTTGCTTCAAAAACTGAAAAACTCATTTTTGTCAAGTCAGGAACTAATCCACAGCTGACTTTGCAGTAGGTTTTTTTAGGAAGTTGTAAGTCATATGGGAGGAGATCACCTACCTTGCTCCCATGGAGCAGCTAATGGATTTGAACCACCTGCCTTTGGGTTGGCAGTGCAACTCCTTTCCCACTAGACCACCAGAGTTTGCTAATCGGGAGATCATTTCTAAGAGAAAGATCCTCAAGGTTACCATATAGCCCTCCTTTTCAATAGAGTACTTTGTGTCCACTACAGTCATGTCGCTTCTAAGAGCTGTTATTTTTTTTCTGAATAATCATAGTCATTCTCTATATCCTCTTCTTTATACTGATATGGTATGTTTCCAAAGACAAGTTCTTTATGAGTCAGTCAATCAGTATTATGCAAAAATGGAGGATGACTCTTATATTAACTGCCAAACCTCTCAGAATCACGGCCCAGCCATGCTGAAACATAACCAGTCCACTCTCACCTGCTGCCTCAGTTTCTGCTACTGCCAGACAAATGTTGATGAGGCAAATTGTCACCTAGTAGACTTTTTCACTATTGCAAGTAGGGAGGTTCTTTAAGACGTCCAGGAAACATACCTGAAGAGGAAAGTGTTACAGGAAGGAGAGGGGCCCCAGAGGTGGTAGGTCAGGAGGATAATAAAACAAAGCCATTAATACCTACTCTTTCCAGTGTGGTTTTAGAACAGAGGTTTGGATGTGGGGAATTGAGTACCCAGCAGAGCAGAATTTACTCCCTGTGCCTCAGCAAGACTCCCTGCCAACACTAAGGCCTTAAATTCCCAGTACCGTCTTTCATTTTTGTGCAACACATAACTAATGTGTCGGTACAGTATAGATAAAACTAAAATTCAGAATGTGAGGTCACCTGTCCCCAGTGGGACATCTAAATGAGATAGCCAGATTCACCTGTGTTCTGATTCCAAGGACAGTCTTGCATGGATCACCTGGGCTGGGGTGGGAGGGGGACCTTGGGTGATAAGTGTCTCTGCAGGTGGCAGCCCTCTCTGGAGATGCCCGGCGCTGCTTGGACATTTGCAGACGTGCCACCGAGATCTGCGAGTTCTCCCAGCAGAAGCCAGGCTCCCCTGGCCTGGTCACAGTGGCTCACTTGATAGAAGCTGTGAATGAGATGTTCTCATCTTCCTACATCGCTGCCATCAAGTAAGATGCTTCCACTTCTTTAACCTGGGCCTTTCTGAAGGGTTTCAAGAGGTTTTCTAAGCTTTTTAGTCATTCAGTCAGGATTTGCTAAAGATGTCCTTTCTCTTAAGGGGTGCAATCTATCTAGTCAGGGAGACAGAACAGTAAACCTCAGATAATAATCACTGTTAACCATACTGCAGTGAAGCTCTACCTAGGGTGTAAGTGGAGTAAAAAGTTCTGTGGAGCAGTGAGTGGCTGGCACACCACTCATAATGTGATAACAGAGAATATATTCCCAGTTATTCTGGCTGTGTTTCCTTACTTCAAAAAGAGTTGGAGATTTTAGGCAGGAAGGCTGATCTTGCTGAATAATACGCTGTTGTTCATTACCATGGAGTCGGAGCCAACTCATAGCCTCCAGTGTGTTTCAGAGGTTTTAAGTCACATAGGCGGGGATGACCCATCTTGTAATCATGGAGCAGCCAGTGGATTTGAACTGTTTGCCCTGAAAGTGGCAGTGTAACTCCTTACTAACTAGGCCATCAGAGCTCCTCCTTGCTGACTAATATAAGACCCTATATTTTCTATCCTTTCTTTTTTTCTAATGGCACAGAGTAACCGTTTGACTTCTCCTCTGGACTAGTGGTACAGCCAATGTGAAGAACTCACATCTTTTCATTTCCTTTTAGGAATTCCTCTGTTCTGGAACAAGGCTTCCTGAGAGCCGTCCTTGCAGAATTCCGTCGATCGGGTCTGGAGGAAGCAACGTTTCAGCAGGTGATTAATCTCCTGAGCTTTGGTCTGATGATACCCTTTCTTTAAAAAGACAGAGGATTTCAATAATCAGTGTATATGTTTTTCTATTTTGTGTCACCTTCCTTATGTGAGAGAATAGCAGGCTATTCTCAAAATATCACCTGTCATGTGATAAAGACCTTTAGGATCTGATTTCTGTAGTAGGTTGAAGGCCACTGCTGTGTCATATGCTCCCCTAGAAGTGAGAAAATTAAAGGTGAAGACAAAAATTATTGCCCTAATATAGTTCATGTTGTAGCGAGGAAGAGTTTCCAGGATTCATTTTTTAAAATAAACCATGAAAATCAGACTCTGAATGCTATTTGAGGTCACATAAAAGGACTCATTAGAGGATGTGGCTTAAGCATTCATTTTAAGACTGTTAAGGGAAACACGCTCATTGCCTTAGAGGATCAGTACTTTAAAATGTGTTTGTTTTTATCTGTGTTATATGTTTTAAGCATCTTAACACAGAGACGTCAAGAAAATACTTTTCCTTTCAACTACTTCTTAAATGAGTTGGTGGTTTATTTAAAAGCTTAGTTACTGGTCATATTTTGGCCATAATAGATTTTTACCCTTCTAAGACCTGAAGACAGCCTTTCAACATAGTGTAACTCAGTCTCATTTATAAACGTTTCCTGAACACCATAATGTTTCATTGGCTGTAAAGGATGCCAGGGGCGGGAGCGATAGATTAATAATACAGTTACAGAAAGTACCAGGGAGCTCTGGTGGCATAGTAGCAAGAAGCTGCACTGCAATCCCAGAGGTACGCGATTCGAATCCACCAGATGCTCTGCTGGAGGAGGAGGGGCAATCTCCTCCTGTACCAGTCAGATCCGATTTGACGGTACACACAAAAAATAATTAAAAAAATAAAGTACCACAGACTGGCCCAACCCTGTAAGGGTCTTTGTGACAGGTTTTTGGCTATCTTCTTACTCCCTTTCCTCTATTTTCTGTTTGCACCTTTGTGATTTTCCAAAAGTCATGTCTTGGCATCTGCTCACTGAATCCACTAAGGAAAATACCCTGGTAGCAAAACAGGTGGAATTATCAGGAGACCAGAACTGTAAAACTGAAGCTCAGAAAAGAAATTCACTGCCCATCATTGTTCACCTATGCACATGCCAGAGCCAGAATTAAGGCCTTGTGCTCAGTTCCAAACTCGTCTTATGTTCTGCATCTGTGCACCACTAGGGGTGTCCCCCAATGACTTCTGGGATACTTCTTGTCCTAAGCACTAAAAGTCTCATTTTCCCAAAAGGAGTTGTAAATGATCGACCCAGTCATATCTGAAGGATACAGGCAGCCCACCTCAGCTTTGCTTCTCATATGTAGGTGTACAGCCAGCACATGGACCTGTGCAGAATGGAGGGACTGCCCTACCCCACCATGTCCGAGACCATGGCCGTGTGCTCCCGCCTTGGTGCCTGTCGCCTCCTCCTGGTGGAGCCAAGCAAGAACGACCTGCTTCTTCGTGTGCGACTCAACATCAGCCAAGATGATGTGCTGTATGCGCTAAAGGAAGAGTGAGGGGCTCCCACAAGGATCTACTGGGGTCTCCTGGTTTTTTAAAGACTGATTTTTCTAAGCACATGGAATTGTTTGGGGGAACTAGACTGTATGGGAATGGCTATGACATCTCTTGCAATTTCCAGTAAATTGCTTTTTCTTGGTTGGAACATTTATAGTCATTGTGTTGTTACTGGCCATTGTCAGGCTGGCTCCCATTAGTGGTAACCTCGCAGCATGGTCAGGACCTGCCTTGTCCTCTTCCATCTTTAACTGATCATTAACGATCAGTTGTGATCCCTAAAGTTTTTGTTGCCTCATTTTCAGAAGTAAATCACTAGGCCTTTTTTCCTCGATTGTCTGAAAGCTGAAAATTTGTTGAGAATCAAATATGTATGTCCCACTTGGAAGTGAGAACTCTTATCATGGAACCACTAATGGCCTTATACACAGTCTTTATAAATACCAGCTTATAAACCCAAAGTGCCCTTCCACAAAGCATCCCACCTCTCCTACCACTGATTTAATTACACAATACTGTGTATGTGCCCCTTAAGGACTGTTGAGGTAACATCTAGTCACATACACATCCATGGGACAGGACACCCAGGTCTCTGGGTACAGGGTGTGTGCCTGGGTGCCCCAGCTCTGGCTCACATGCCTTGGGCCTGTGCAGTCCTCCCCCAGGCAAGTTCTCACAAGCAGGCGAGCTGACTTAGCAGAGAAGGTGGGGAAAACCTGGCCAAATGCTCACTGGGCATCTGCAGAAGGAACTGTCCAAACATGTGCTACACAGCAGCCCCAGGTCAGTCTGCTGTGGGAATCTCGTGCCCTCAGAAAACAGGACATGGTGTCCAAATCACATCTCACAGGACATTAATTGATGTTTACCTGTATGTAAATGTATGCATACAATATACTTACATCTGTAAAATAGTTATAGAAGGAGTTTACTACATTGACTGCACCCAGAAAAAGATAATTGAATGATAAGGGCTGCCTGGAGGACTTTGCACTGTATCATCTTGAGTCTTTAATTTGGAATCATACAAATACACAAAATGTAGTTTTGTTTTTATTAATTTTAATGAAAGTTTACAGACTTAGTGTTTCCATTCATTCATTTTTTGCACTTTTCTCCCTTCCAACCCTCTCCCCCCCAATTCACTCTTCTCCTTGAAAAGTAAAAGAAAAACTCTTTCATTGTTATGCAGTCCCTCCACCCAAGTCCACTCCACTGTGCAGCCTTCATTCTATACTTCTGTCACATGACAATAATACCCAATCATATATCTCTTTTAAACAGTTCTCTCCCTCATCTGTTTGAATGCATTATACACCATTCAGCCCTCTCCTCCTGTCTTGCCTTACTCTCAGTGTCAGTCCCATTTTACAACAGTGGCACTATGCAATATTTGTCCTTTTGTGACTGAGATACTTCACTTAGCATAATGTCCTCTAAGGTCACCCATTTTGAATAATATTTCATGAGTTCCTTGTTTTTCAATGCTGCATAGTATTCCACTGTGTGAATATACAGAGCTTCTCTATCCATTCCTTTGTTGTTTATTTTAAAAACAAACAAAACCCACAGTACAAAACTGCAAGTAATAATAGCAATATTAAATAATCTCTAGCAAGAAATGGTTGGAAAATATATTTAAAAGGTACGTTTTGTCGTTGTTATGTACTGTCAAGTTGCTTACGCCTCATAGCAACCCTATGTACAACAGCTCTGAATCTTGCTCTATCTTGGGCCAACTTTATTGTCTCTGAAACATCTACTCCCATTATCAGATGACTGAGTCAATCCATCTCGTCCAGTCTTTCTCATGCTGCCCTTCCACCCTCCCAGGCATGATGTCCTTCTCCAAGGACTGGTCCCTTCTTGCAACATATCCAAAGTATGTCACACGAAGCTTCAGAATCCTTCCCTCCAATGAGCAGTCTGGTTTCACCCTCTCCTGGACAAGCCTGTTTGTTCTCCTAGCAGCCCATGGTATATTCAACACTCATCTCCAGCACCACAGCTCAAAGGCATCAATTCTCCTTCTATCATCCCTAGTCCAGCTCTCTGATGCAAAGAAAGTGATTGCAAAGATCATGGCCTGGATCAGGTGCATCTTAGTTTCCAGACTGACACCATAAAAACAAATCTTTTAAAAAGAGAGACTTACATAACAAACTATGAAGTCCAGTATTAGGAATACTTCTAATAAAAATATATATAATTAAGTCAATTCAGATACAAATCCTGTAGAGGTTCTTGAATAAGTTGGTAAATTATTCTAATGTTTACAGGGAACCAACAATGGCTCTAACTGGAATCTGATGTTACTTCTAAGAAATAGCACCAATAACTCCTGCCAACAATGTTTAACTGAATCTATTGATGAGAAAATTACCAGAAGAATTGAGAGAGACTTCTTCAAAGCAACTGGTTATATTTCTCAAGATAAAATGTGGATAAAGAACAGACATAATAACTAGATACGCTATCTAAACCTTGAGTGCAGCCTAAAATTTAAAAGTATACATGGGATAAATATTAAATCATAAAGCCAGTGCCATTGAGTCAGTACCAGCTATGACAACACTACAGGACAGATTGCTCATTCCTGGCAGAAGTGCTGGCGGCCTAAAGTTAACACTGCTCACCCAAAGACCACACCTCAAGGCTCACCATCCAGGGCACTAGAGAAAAATGGGCCTTCTCGAGAGCAATTAAGAGCCTTCGGAGGGTCCATGATCAGTCAGTCCAGGTTAAAATATCTATAGGGTTTCCAAGATTACAAAGATTCCTTTATTGTGATTTCTGTGAAAGTTTACAAAGCTAATTGGTTTTCTATTCAAGAGTTTTAAGATAACTACAATATCCACAATGTCACCAAGCTCTTCCCACTTCCATTCATCTTGTTTCCATTCATCCTTCTGTCTTCTGAGCTTTATTCCTGGTCAGATAACCCTGTTTACAGACATGTGGATTGTGGGCTAATGGGTAAGGAGCTGCACTACCAACCTAAAGGCAGAGGATTTGAATCTACCAGATCCTGAGGGAGAAACCGTCTGTCTCCTCCTGTGTAAAGACAGCCTTTGAAAACCCACTGAAGGGTCAACTTTGAGTCAGTTCTGACTTGATGGCATTGAGTGGTTTGATCTTATATGACTATTTTTTTTTATATGATTATTTTAAGGAGTGAGTTCTTACTGGGGCTTCTGTTCACCTTGTAGGTTTGTTTATTGTCTGGCTAGAAGCTGAGCCACAGGAGTGCATTTTCTAAATTTGAAGGGTGACGAACGGCCATCTTAGGATTCTTAGGAATCCCACTAGTCTCTACCAGACCACCTAACTTGGCCATTTTCATAATTTTTAGTTTTGTTCACATCTTTCATCCACTCTATCCAGGACCTTCTACTGTATTTCTTTTTAGAGTGGTCAGCAGTGGCAAAATTTATGTCCAATGAAATCCAAACCATCTTCAATGAAGACACCCGAAAACAGATCAGGTCACTCAGAGAAGTCATTGCCAAGCAGTTGGAACTGATGCACAACTGACGGCTCATCTTCCCCCCTCAGAGGGGCTGACGGATTCAAACTGCCTGAGAAGCACCACGTTTGGGTTAGCAGTACAACCTCCTAGGGCTACACCTCAGATGATAATTCTGGAACAATGAGTTTAAATAGGAAAAACAAATACTTTAAACATAGACTGAAAGAATTGAATGACTAAAGAGACAGATGGAACACAGAACCATAAACAGTAAAGCACAGTCATTTTTAACAGTTGATTGGCACAGGAATTCAGATTGTGGTGGTCTCAACACCAGCAACTGTCTGCTGACAAGGTGCTGTCTCCTGTGTCAGGTTCCTTCCACAGGTCAGAGGAGTGAGTTAGCGAGTCAGCACTCACCAGGTGATTGGCTGTGTTCCATCCCATCTCTGCTCCACCTGAGGCCAGATATGTGCCCACAGATCTATGTTTAGAGATTCCTTATGTTAGCTGGCAGACTGTACTGTGCCTGAACTCCTGTCAGTCCCTGGATTAGTATGGGCACCATCTCTAACTAGACTCTCTTGCCTGACATACACGACTACAGGTGGAGCAGTCCCCCTCCACCACATCAATAAAACAATAATAACCATGTGATAATCTCAATTGATGCATGTGGTGCTAAACTTAAAGCGGGTTTTTGGGGTTTTTTTTTTGTTGTTTTTTTGTTTTGTTTTTTTTTTTAGCTATTACAGTTAGGCCCCTCTAGTGTCTAGCTACCTTAACTGCAGACACACAGTTTTGCAAATCAGCATGGTGTTACAAATCACCAACAGCTGTGGGACAAGGATAAGATAAAGAGTATGTTTTCACACACTGCACAGCAAGATTTGGGGTAAGCAAGGCTTGTGGCAGCAAGACCCTGGTGAGAGCAAAACCCTGGTTGTGGAGAGACTGTGGCACTGCTGTGGAGAATCTGTTGCAAGGTGTGACCTGAGGCTTCTTGCATTTGTGCTGGCCACAATTATAGGGTTTTTGCTGGATGCTTGTTTTGTTGTGTGTTTTTTTTT